ATGGAACAGCGCTTTGATTCTTACATGAATGCCAGACACTTCAAAACCACAAGGGGAACTGCTTTTAGCTTCTCTGGCCTACAGCCTGATAAACTTTGAGCCTTCCCACTCAGCGTCTCTCTGTTACGCTTGCAACTTTGCCCAAGGTGTCTGTCAGACTGTACTCCTTCCATTGAATTTCTAATACTTAACCACTTTCTGCAATTTCCTAAGCAGCAGAAAAGTCCAAAGCACTCAATTTCACATCTTCTTGACTTGGTACCATATAAACCTTCTTGAAAAGGCTGATTCCAAATGGCCAAGTATCTAAATGTGGAAAGGCTGTTCAAGTCCCTGGACATGCAGAGATGCATCTCTCAATCTAGAAAGTGCTAAAATCCAATGGCCCTCCTATGCTGACAGAATTTTGAAATATATTCCGATCAAATGGAAACAGAATATTTCTCATTTCATAGGATCTAAAGGCTTGTGAATGAAGAAAATACAAGTTTTTAACATTAATATCTTGACATTTTCCAGCATCTCAAAATCAATATATCAATCCAATAATATTCACAGTGAATTGGAACCAGATGTTTTCCCAAAGTCTGGAAGTTGTCAAAGATTATAAACAAAAGAAGGTGGTTGGGAAAAGAATGTTTAAGAGGGTGGGAAATGTTTCCTAAACAGATCTGCAATCATGTGCTCACCTCCCATAAGATCATGGGATGGGGTGAGAGTGTCCAGAATGGCAGCAGTTTGGAGATGATGGTGTCTGCCACCACTCGAGAACAACACATCTACTGTGCAACTTGCTGTCCAGTTGCCCAGCAAGAAGAGCCACCAGCAGGTGAGCAGCAGTCAGATGAATTACCTGGGTAGGCCACATCCACTCATAGCTTACAGACAGAGTGATACGTTAATTGAGATTATCTCCTTTATAAGCACATCATCATTCTCCTTACCTAACTTTTCCCCCTTATGAACACTTGTTTAAGGTTCCCTCATTCACTGCTACCTACCTTTCTTTCGTCACTCTTGTTGCTCCACTCTTAACATGCTGTTTCTACATGTACACACCTTTCTCCCAACCTGACTTTATACTGTAAAATCAGTTGCTATTTGCATTCTCTCCTCACGCTCATGTTCTTCCTCAAAAATAAAGAGACTAAAGTGCAATATAAAAATTGATTGTGGGCAGGTTCGGAGAACTAAAATGCTGCACTGTTTGACAGTTTTCCTCACTGAATCAGCTCGCCATGAGCGCTTCACAGTAAGCACAAAGGAAAAAGCAGGACTGCACTGTAGGTGACAGAACTCCTACTCCAAAAAGCAACCATCAGATCAGCAAACTACAGTGCAAACCTATAGCCTTGCTCTCTCCCAATGAAATCAATACATCAACACAAACTTCAGTGTTTGATCAGCTCTATACACCTTCCACATTTACTTGAGTCACACCCTGGATTTTAATGAAGCTTTCATATTTTAGTCAAACGTGTTAATTTATGTTTCCATTAATAAAAAGTTCCTAACTGCTCAAGAATTCAAGTGTAGAGCGCTTGAGCCAAGGGAAACATGTCTGTGCTCAAGGTAAAATCCTAATTTCCCTCAACCTGTCTACCTCTGAAATGCCATTGCACTGGCCTTACCCTTATTTTTGCCAGTTTATTGCCAATCACCACAGTCCACTAACAGCAGCTGATGAGAAAGTAGACCGTTATTGTGTATACAAACCACACTTCCCCAAAGCTTCACAATTATGTGAAGTAAGATAAAAAACGGCTGTCCTGGTGATAGAGGGTGGTTTGAACTGAACAGTGGTGCCAGGTTGGAAGAGGTAAAGATGTGCACAAGCTTGCTGCAGTGCTGTTCAGCACCAGAGCTGGCAGGACAGTAGGACACAACATGCCTGGAAGCGGGAGGCAAACCTGGCTGACAAGATCACGCTGGTGCTGCACAGCACACGTGAAGATGTCTCGTGCCCAGGCACAAGAGTTTCCGCATTCCAGTTTCAGCCAGCTCTTTTACTCCTCTGGTGACTGAGTTTCCAAGTCTACTGTTTAGAAAGCTGTTAAAATTCTCAGGAAAGACAAAAGTTTGACTTAATGCCATGGGATATGATTAATGATTCAGATACGTTTCTCACATGTGACAGCTGTGAGAGCTGTGCAAACAGAACGAATGGCGCTGTTTTGATAGCACTCACTGAAGACTACGGATGCACCAAAGGTTGCTCCTGCTTTAGTCAGTAGCAATACCAGTGTGTGGCAGGATGCAACCGTATCGGTACTCATCTGCCTCATATGTATACACACTCAGCTTATAGAGGTTACTATGAGTACGTGTGATCGAGTGGCTACGAGACATAGCGTAGCAGCAGGTTGGGGTTGCACACTGGATGCAAAGCAGCAGGTAAGGGGTGAAACAGTCCCCGTTCTGGTATTCTGTAAGTCTGGTTGCCTTGGTTGGGCAGCCATGGTGGCACTTAAGGCAGCACCTGAAAGCAGGAAGCTGGACAGCTGGGTTAAGCACAGCTTTACTTTCATGAACACACCTCACTGCACACTCAGAAGTGCATAGCACAGAAATGACGCTCTTGGTTCACCCAGCTGCCAGACTAGCCAACCCATGAACTAAATTTTAGGCAGAAAACCTGTCTACCCTAATGCACACTGGAACCACTGCCCAAGTTTCAAGTTCTTGGTCTGATAACAAAATTCTGAAGTGCTGAAGGCTTTGCCAATAGCCAAGAATAGCTCCCAGTGCATGCTGACTGACTCCACGCATCAGCTCCCAACCTAGGAGCTGACACAAATTACACATGTTTTTCACAGTCTCTGGACCAGCTCAAGCATGGGGAGTAAACAAAGCATGGGAAATAGAGTGGCAATGCTATTTGAAAGAGGTATTCAGCATGAAAGAAAACAGTAATCCCAGTAATGATAATCAGGCCACAAGTTCGTAGGGCAGCATGGTGACAACAAAATGCCAGCTTGTTTTCCCTCAAACGAGAGCTGTATTGCAATGGAGATCAAAAGCAAATGCTGCCCTCTGTACTGCACTAGGCTGTCTATACAAGTGGGCCATTTCTGGAAGAAATGACACCTGAAGAAAGGCTCAGAAGCAAGTTGTACAGAGCACCCCAGCCTCTCCAATAAAACCCTCACCTTACCAGCAGAAACCTAACTGGAAGCAGATGCTAGAAATAACAGAATATTTGATCCAGTTAACTTGCTGATAACCCAAAGCAAGCCCCCCTTTGCTTCCATCCTAGATTCCTTATGTTTCTTACGTGCGCAGGGGAAAAGGGATTTCCTAAGTAAAGGAGAAAGCTTCCTACACCTCAGAGGCAATGTTTTCCATTCCAAAGATTAACAGATTCGCTTAATGCTCCTGATTTTACCACACAGACCACAGCTTTCTCTCATCACAAAACAAATAACAGAGAACAGATGCGTACGCCCTATACAGGCTTGACAGAAAAAGCCAAAGGAATGGGAAACAACATGGAACTGTTTCACTGACGCCTAAAGGGAAATGGAAAGCTGTTCACCTGCACAATCTGCTAAAGAAGTGGTTAAAAAAATAAAAATAGGGCACTGCTAATCTCTTTTCATGAGCGCTTTTCCCACATCAGATTCAGGTTTCTAAGATCCTTATGACTGTGAAAAAAACACTAATTCCTCACTACTCGTCAGTATTTGGGAACATCGCTGTTCACTTTCTCCATTGATATCACTGCTGCAATAGAGAACACACTTCTTTTCCCCCCAGTTTCTACCATTTTAGGTTCTCTTTCCTACTAATTAACTTAAGTGCATTTGCCTCCGCTGTTCCTGGCGTGCAGCAACATGACACTGGCATTGCCCTCGACATCTCTCTGCTTCCCACAGACCTGCACTAAAACCACTGAGTTCTGTCAACTTTGCGGCTCCCCACGAGCAGAGCTCCGTGCAACAGCACAGCAGCAGTGCCCTGTTTGCACGCGCAGGAAGATGACTGTGCATCCCATCACACTGCAGGTTATCTTCACAGCCATCACCAGGGCCACAAACTGAGCTCTCCTGGCACGTTCCTAATGTCCTTCAAGGTTTAGCGACGAGTTACACAACCCAACGCTGTGCAATTTTCATTCATCCAAGGATGAGCCTTCTGATTACAGAAACCAGATAAAGTTGTGCAAAGACGTCATTTGTATCAAGTTTCCTCTGCCACTGATTTTTGCTTAGATTTAGATCAGAAGAGCCTTAAAAACTGCTCCCCAGGATGTGACCCCGGGGTTATATGCTCACTGCAGCTGCATGTAGCTGTGCTCCCTGCTGTTAACTTTATTAATTAAGAGTTTGCATTCCTCCCTTCCGCGTTTGCAGAAACAGCTCTTAAATTTTGGGCGACTGCTCGGCGCTCTGCAGATATTTGGCTTTCAGATCACAAAGCACGGATTGCTTCGTGCAACGCTTAAAAACAAAGCGATTCCTTGTTCCCTCCGCCTGTTCTGTGCCACGATTTCTGAATGGATTACATGAGAGACGGGGGGGGGGGGGTGGGGGGGGGGGAAACCACCACACATACATAGAAAAGAGGAAGTTGTGCTTTTGGACCGCCACAGCGGAGCGCACGCTTTGCAGAAGGGGTGTAGTTGCAGCAACAATTTCAGGTTTCGATGATCTTAACGCGGATTTCAAAACAAAGCACCTCCCTCCTTCGCGTGGCAGCAGCCCTGCGAGACGGGACTTGGGATGGAAAAGACGGCGCTCGTTATCCCAAGCCTCCCGCCGCGCCGCGCCGCACGCAAAGTTGCGGATAAGCGCGGTCGGGACGCGGGCACGTCCTCGCACGGCGCTGTCACTGCCACCGCGCCCCGACCGAGCCGGGGAAGGACGGAGCCCCGCGCACGACGCCCCGCTCCCCCCCTCCTTCCCTCCCTCTTTCCTTCCCTGCCTCCCGCCGCCGCCGCCGCGGCCGGACGGGGCGGCGCTGCCGGGACCAGCACCCGCTCCTCCCCCGTGGGCGCTCACCAGGGGTCGAACTCGTGGATGATGCTCTCGAAGCGGATGACGGCGAAGAGGCGCGAGCTGAAGCCGGCCAGCCAGGCCAGGAAAAGGATGGTGAAGGAGAGCAGTGACTGCCAGCCCGCCGGCTGCGACAGGCCCCCCGACAGGCCGCCCCCCGGCCCGCCGCGGCTGTTGAGCGGCGCCACGGAGTTGGCGGCGGCGCCGGGCTTGTGCTTGCTGTCGGGGGCCGAGTGCTCCGCCATGTTGCGCCCGGGGCTCCCTCGCAGCCGCTCCGCCCGGCGCGCGCGGGGAGGAGGGAGGGGCGGGGGAAGGGAAGGGCGGGGGGAGGGAGGGAAGGGGCAGAGCCAGCCCGCTGCCGCCGCGCTCCTCGCGGGCCGCCCGCCGCCACCGCCGCCTCGCCTCGCCGAGCTCTGCCTCCCGCCGCCGCCCTCGGCAGCCCAGGGGCGGGCGGTGACGACGGAGCGGGGAGGGGCGGAAGGCGCGCGGCCGCCGCCGGAGCGGTGCTAAGGGGCCGCGCGTGCGCGTGAGCGCAGGGGGCGGGCGCGCGCGGGCTGGCGTCCGGCGGCTCGCGGGCGGTTTGACATTGCCGCCCTCCGGCGCGGGAGGAGCTACGGGGGCGGGGGCGGGGCTGCGGGAGAAGGAGGGGACCGGGGGGAGGGACTGGCCAATCACCACGGTCGCCCTGCTAACCGGAACTCGGTGATGGCCTGTCACGAAGCGACAGGTATTTAAAAGGGGCGGGGTGAGGCCCGGCGGCCAGTCGTAGTGACGAAGGAGAAGGCGTGGCAGCGCGCGCGCGCGCGGAGGAGAAACGACTTTCATCGCCGGGCATTGGCGAGTCAGGAAAGGGAGGGCGCTGAGTGGCGGCACTGTGAGCCAATGGGAGCAGCCGGCGGGGGTCACAGCGGGAGAGGAGCGCCGTAGGGGGCGGTGCTGCGGTGCGCGTGGGCCGGTGCGGCTCCTGGCGTCTCGTGCGGCCTCGCGGGGGCTACTGGGAGCCGCAGTTCGCGGCGTGCCCGTGGCGCCAGAGGCGCTGGAGCTGCTGCTGCTTGTGCGGCTGTGACGGCCCCTGTGGAGTGCTAGGGGCACCGTTGCCGTTACTCGCTGCGTGGTGCGGCTCTCCCCAGCGAGCCCTTGGGGCTCGTCGCCCTCCTCTGAGGGTGCCCTAGGCTACCGCTAAGGGCTGCCCGGCCGTCCCTGAATGCTTCTGCTTGGCTTTCGAGGTACGAGCTTCCACTTTGGTGCTCCTCCTCGGGGCTCGCGTTCCTCTGAGCCATTTATTTCAGCCGTTTAATTACCGCCGGACCGGGCCCCGAGGGCGGGCAGGTAGGAGAGGGAGCTGCAGGCAAGGCTGGCCTCGGGCTGCGGATTGAAACCCCTGTTCTGGTACACTTCCCTCAGCCCTTATTCGTGCCCAGCTGTGACTTACTCACCTGGTTTGAAGGCAGGGCTGCTGCGAGGCACGTTGTGTGCCTGTTGTGAGATGTAGGTTGCTCCAAAAGTAAAGCCTCCTGTTTATCACCACGGGAGCTGCAGCAGATACAAAGGACTCAGTAACGCTATGTGATAGAAGAAATTCTCAGCTCCAAAATGTTATTTTTCAACAGCCAGCGCCATTAGCTGCGCACTTTCACCAGCAATGAACAAGGAGCCTAAGTATTACACTTGTGTAAACCTGCACCAGTCACACAATGTCAGCACTACTAAAACACAACACCCACTGCCTCACTGTGCCCACATCCGCTGCTTGGACCTTGTAATGTTGCTCCTTCTCACTCCTGACTTCCTTGTCAGATGCCATTCTGTCAGACTGCCCCTCTGCTGCCATCTGTCACACAGCAACAACATGGAATGGAATATTGGTGGGAAGGTTCAACCTCTACTGCCATCCCACCGACATCTGCCTTTGATGTTGTGAGCCAACATCATAAAAGAGGAGGCATTACTTTTGGGGCAGTCCTCACATGAGGTTTAAGAAAACTTCCATAAAATTATGAGGTTCAATTTTGCTGAATCTGGCTCTTAAAAAGCTGTGTGTGTTGTATTTTTCTCTTAGTACATTGTTCTTTTCTCCTCTAGTTAAAATAGGTCAGTAATACATTCAAGAGAAATTAAGTTAGACACTTGCCCCTTTCCTAGTGTCGTCTGTGAGGGTTTTTAATGAGCTGCCCAATTGGCATTTCGAGTGAAAGATTTTTTTTTTTTCCTTAATTGGGTCATGAATGAGGAGCAAAAGTGGCTAGAAATTGTTGTTTTCTCAAATGCATTGACTGATTGTATGACAGGCTCAGCCATGGTCTGCTGTTCTGAAATGACTGGTGGTATTTCCATTCTCACAGTTGGATCCTGTCTTCGGTAACAGCAATTTAAGGTTAATGATGCAGTAGGGGAGCAGCTCTATGTGGTGCTGTATGTAGAATACCTTTGTCTTTTCTTCCCCTGCACCCACGAGTCTGGGTACTAAGAAGGCAAAATTGACTGATGATGCACTGAAAAAAAATTGCGTACCAGAATTTGTAATGCAAAATTTATCATCAGTGTTAACTTTCCTAGATTAAGAATCTGCTTTATTTAAAAACCATTGTGGAACATGGTATGGATGAAGTTACATGGCATTCACTTTAAATTTCATTGCTATAACTTTTAACTTCCAGCAGGGAGCTTATATCATTCTGACTATACTGACAATTTTTTTGAGCATAGACAAGCTCAGACAGACCTTGATTTATTTGAATGCTGACTAATGGTAAAGTGTTTCTTTGTCCTTGGTAACAAACGATATTGTTGCCTATTCATTTTCAAACTGTTCAAAAGTCTGTACATGAGAGCCTGGATAACAAAATGTAGTGGTAGCAAAAGCACAGTTCTAGTACAAGCTTTTATTAATGTTTCTATAAATGCATTGTCAAAATCTTGTGTGAAATAAGATTGGGTAGTCTTATAGTACATCTGATTAAACAGTTGCACTCAAATGAAAATTCCTAGTCATACAGCTGGATGGTTTTGACACCATGCTGCCATGACTAAAATGGAAAACACTTTTTTGGAGGAAATGCAAAGCATGTCTACTGAGCAACAGCATTCCACCCCTGCTTGAAATTTGTCCTTCCCCACTGCCCTGTAACGTGATGGAGCTATTGGAGCAGGTCCAGAGAAGTCTGAAAAGATGACCAGAGGGCTGGAGGACCCCTCCTATGAAAAAAGTCTGAGGGAGATGGGGCTGTTCAGCCTGGAGAAGAGAAGGCTGTGGGGAGACCTCATTGCAGCCTTTCAGTATTTGAAAGGAGCTTATAAGCAGGAGGGGGATCAACTTTTTACAGTGTAATAGTGAAGGACAAGAGGGAATGTCTTAAATTAAAAGAGGGCAAGTTTAGATTAGAGATCAAGAAGAAATTCTTTACTCAGAGGAAACAGGCTGCCCAGAGAAGCTGTGGTGCCCCATCCCTGGAGCACTCAAGGTCAGTTTGGATGGGGTCTGGGCAGCCTGAGCTGGTGGGTGGCAGCCCTGCCCATGGCAGGGGATTGGAACTTTGGAACTGGGTGGGCTTTAAGGTCCATTCCAACCTAAGCCATTCTATTATTCTTTTTTTTTTTTTTTTTTTTTTTCCCCTCCTTTATGCTTGTGTTCTTCTTTTTTCTTTGTTTTAAGGTGATTTGGTTTAAACTTGTTCCACTCTGTCTGGTGGTATTTTCTTTGAAAACAAAATAACCATGAAAGTGTCCGAATTAATGGTTGAGGTATTGACTTTGCATATTGATTATGAACCATTTTGCATACAGAAAATCAATTTCCTATTCTGAGTATGTAAAATAATATCCAAATGCCTAAAGGGGGGGGGGAGGGGGGGAGGGGGCGGATTCTTATTTATTTTTCAAGCTTCCTCAATAATGGAACTGTTAGGAGGGTAATGCCAAGTGTGGAGGCTGTGTTACAACTTGACAAACTGAAGCATCTTGAAAGTTGTAGATCAGTGTACAGGAAAGTATCATATGAGGGCTCTTCATCCCTCAACACGGCCACCATGTGTCACTGACATGCATCCTGCTGTTGTAAGGATGTCAGACAAAATTAAGACAGAAGAAACCAGATACATCTATGTAATAAATTATGAATCAGAAATACAAACTCGCGGTTGGAGGGAACAATTCATGCTTTTTGCCAAACTTTATTGGCAACAGTTCTGCAGTGTTCATTAACAGTAGTAGGCAGCTTAGTTTAAAAAGCCATAGATAGCAGGTTTAGGGTAATAAGCAAACCTTCAACAGTCCTTCCCACTTTTTGGTCCTGCAGATGAGCAAGTTAGTAAGTTTAGTGCTAAGATTTTGAAGATGGCTTTATAAGCTAATGAAGTAGTACTTCCTGAAATGTAGAGCAGAGCATCACTCAGCGTGCTGGAAGATGCCTGATTCCACTGAGCACATCTCTAAAATCCCTGGACAGTCGTTGTTTAAAAATGTATGGTAGGGTTTAAATGAAAGAAAATACAATATCACTGCATAATAATTATCCTTGAGAACCTGAACTTTAATGCATTTAAAAATAGCTATATATTAGTCTCTACATTAGATAAAATGTCATGAAATTAAAATAATTTTAAAAATCAATTTATTGAAGCAGGTGCGACCTTTTGTGAATACATGCAAATCACTTTAGCTAGTTATAAACTGGCACAAGATTGTCTGCAAAGAGCTTTGCACCTGTGTAACTTTAATGAGTTTTTTAATTGATTTGAATTAAACTGGCACAACTGTTGTGTTTAGACAAGGCCTTAACCTAGCAGTTAATTCAGTAACAACAGTAGAAACTGGCTTTACTTATTTCTGACAGTGTTCTGCTGTGATTTCCCCCTTTCCAAGAATTTGAACACAAGCTGCTGTTCTTTCTCTGCTCTCCTGTCTTAATTTCCCTCCATAGTTTCCCTTTCTTGTGACCTGCACAGTGATAAAGGTTGCTGCAGTTTGCACAGACTTCTCAGGAATCACGAAGAGGAATGGCAAGACTCAATGCATCCTTTCTCTCCCTAGACAGCCCCTGGCATACTCTGGTGCCAATACCTGTTCTATCAACCTTGTCTTTACTTCTTCAGGGACAAATGGGCAGGCTTCTGGCAGGCTGCTACCAGCTCTGCAAAATCCCCAGCCTTTCTTAGAATAACTGAAGCAACATCTTGGGCCTTTTTTTTATTATTTTTTATTTTAGAAGAAGACAAAACAAATGACAAAATCCCCCCCAAAACTCATGAAAACCACATGCAGTATTTTTTATGCTTATATTCTTACCTACATGC